GTCGGTGCGCGTGTGTGTGTGTGTGTGTGTGTGGTAGACATGGTGTCCGTGCACGTGTGTGTGTGTGTGTCACCTCTTAGCAGACGCCCTCATGGCCATTTCCTCGAAATTTGGGTCAGGTCAATCCTTATACGTAAACGTTTTTAAAGGATTATTTGCCCTCGCAACTTTTTTACTATACGTAGAGACACACACATTCTTTAGTGTTATATCCATGTGACTTCAAAAACGGTCATGGAAAATGGACTTCAAGTACGAGTTTATTTTGGTGTGTAAATAAAAAAAATTCATCATTTGGGGGCTATCAGGTGGCATGGTGGTTAAAGCACTGGACTCCCACATGGTCGGCTGTTGTTCAAATCCTGGTGGCATGGGCTTTCTCTCTCTCTCTCTCTCTCTCTCTCTCTTCCTCTCTGGTAAGCGCAAATGCCCTATAGCAAATTAAATAATAATAAAAAATAAAAATAACCATTTTTAAATCCATACTTTTTGCATAATGCGCATTTTTCACGAGCTTTAGAATGCCACACATTGTTTTCAGTTGTATGTATTCAGGTTCCCCAAAGAACAGGCGTGTCTCCCCGGCTGAGCTTGGAGATCTGCCCCGACTTGGACCCGTCTCTGCCCCCACTCAAGGGGTCCAGGTGGTGACTGCCCTCTGGCAGGGCGTCGTCTAAGCCAGAGCGCCCCAACCCCAGCACCCTTTCCAGCTGGGCTGGAGGGCCCTCGGTTGTCGGAGCCGGCCGGTGCTGCGGCGTGGTGCTGCGGGCAGCGTCCAGGGCTCTGCCTGAGGGAGGCGGGCAGTGCCCTTCCCGTGGGGGGCCTGGTGCTGCAAGGTCAGCTGGAGGCACGGATGTGGGGAGGGCCCACGTGGCACCAGGAGCCGGAGCCCGAGCCCGAGGGCTAATACAAGCTCCCTGCAGGGAGAGCAGGGAAGCCCTGAGTTTCCCCTAGGTCGTTGTTTACCCAGCGCGGAAACGGAGCTGAAGACATTCCAGACAAGCGACCCCGCTCCTCTCGTGCCGGGCAGGGTTTCCAGCCTCGGGGGACTGGCGTTTGGGGCCAGATTCTCTGCTGTGGGCTGTCGTGTGCCTTGCAGGGCGGTCAGCACTTTGCCCTTCCTGCCCGCTGAGAGCCATGACACAGTGCGGGAAACCAAGCAGCCAGCCAGATCCGAGAGGCGGAGAGGCTGGCGGCCCCGGGGTGAGCGGGGAGGAGTGCTCGGGGCCTGGATCCCCCGTCCTGGGAGTGAGTTTGGCGGCTGTACCACGTCCCGAATGCCGAATGCCGAACCCTGTGCACTCGGAAAGAACTGAAATGGTAAAGTTCTGTGGCAATAAAAACAGGTCTCCCGACACTGGTGAAGTGTCCCCTCAGGGACAGAGCCACCTGGGTGAGGGCAGCTGTCCTCTGTAACGGCACAGGCGGGCTGCACGTCTCAGGTTTGGGGCCACAGTGTTCC